TGATGGTGATGGTGATGGTGATGATCGTGATGGTGACGGTGGTGGTGATGATGAGGAGGAGGAGGAGAGGAGGGGGAGGAGGATGTGAATGTGGATGTGGATGTGGATGAGGGATAAATGCCCCTTAAAGTCCGGATATGCGTTTACCAGAATAGACAACCAGGGCCCCAAGAAAGAAGCACAATGCTTTCGAAACCTAAGCCTTCATCCTTGGACGCTAAAAACCCTGAATCCTGAACCCTAAACCCTGAGCTCGGAGGAGCCATGAACCCCAGGTTCTGAGCCCTAAACCCCAAACCCTACAACCGAAACATCTCCAAACCCTAAACTCCGGGGAGCCCTTTAGAAGGAATACCCTAAATAACCCTAAATCCCATGGAGCCCTTTAGAAGGAACCCTGAAGGGAGAGAAACCCTGAGCCCGGGACTCTCTGTTTCCAGGAACTCCTGGAGCTGCGCTCTGCTGAGCTGAAGGCTGCAAATGTTTATGAGGGTTTAGGGTTTAGGGTTTAGGGTTTATTTATATGTTGGTTTGTGGCTTAGGGTTTTCGGAGGTTTAGGGCTTTGAGCGTTGGTTGTGGATTCACGGTTTAGGGATCAGGCCTGACAAAGCTCTTGGAATTGCGTTTGGCTTTGCCTCTACACTGCGGTTTAGAGTTTGGGATTTAGGGTCTATCTAGGGTTTAGGCTCGAGCCTGCAAACATAAAAAGCCGGAGTTGTCATGGCCCCTTGTCTTATCAACCTTTACCCTTTGCCGGGCGGTATAACCTCTCTTTGATCCCAAAAGGTAAACTCAGATTCCCGCAGAAGGTCGGCTTTGGAACAAGAGGTAGGGTTTAGGGTTTCAGGTTTAGGGTTTGGGGTTTCAGATTCTAGCGTTCTGTTTGAGAGTATAGCGCCCTCGTCAGGTGGGGGACTCAGGGTGGGTTCTCGCCGATAAACTTTGAGTTTTGGGTTTCGGGTTTAGGGTTTGGGGGTTTAGGCTTTAGGGTGTAGTTTAGACTTGATGGGAGTCGAACGAGGACGTGAGGATGGCGCCTTCAGGTACAGAATCCTGTTTATGGAGTCTTTACAGCATCGATAGGTTTAGGTTGTTTTGAGCGTTCATGAGCTTAAGAAAAATAGACATTCAAAAGACTTCACTGGTGGCTCCATTGGGTTCCAGCCTTATAATCGCTAGAATCCGCTGGATCGACAGAGGCCTCGCTCCACTTTCAACCTCTCCAAGCTTCTGGATCCGGGAAGCGAGATGCCTGGGAACACCGCGACTAACATCCTCGCCTGGTTCGATGAACAGACTCATGGGGTCCTGGGGGCCGAGCCTGTGCTGGTCCAGGTCGCCGACTCTTTGATCTAGGGTTTAGGGTTTAGGGTTTAGGGTTTGATCAGTGTTAAGAGGGATGGCGCAGACTCCATCATGGAGGTACTCAGAATTCCACCCTCTGGCACTCCTGGATGAACTTCATGGTGCAAAGGGCTTGGCCACTGCAGGTGCCTAAACCTAAACCCCTCAACCCCTGCAACCCCTAAACCCCCAAACCCCTAAACCCCTAAACCCAGACCCTCTAAACCCCCAAACCCCCTGAACCCCACGGTTTGAATTAGGGTTTGGGGCTTTAAGGTTTGGGATTTGGGTGGTCCGGCGGAAGACAATGACCGATATTCCCCTCAACAAGAATGTAATCACCACCACAATATACACAATAGCCCCTGCACCGCAAGCCATTAAACCAAACATTATTGAGCTTTGGGAGTTTAGGGCTTACAAACCCTTGGAGTCCGTCGGAATGTCTTTATCACGAGCATAGGATAAGTGGCTTAGGGTTGAAGGCTCAGGGTTTCAGGATTTGATTTAAAGTGTTGGGTCCCGCGCTGCAAGCCCAGGCAGGCTCCCAAGTTTAGGGTTCAGAGCTTCGGGTTCGTCACCCTTAGTTTTTTGGTCGCGACGGGTTGAGGATCTGGGATTTGTACAATTTGTTGTTGAAGGTCCCTCGCTCCTACATCACAACCCTAAACCCTAAACCCTAAACTCTAAACCCTAAACCCTAAGCCCAGGAAAGCTCGGTCTTTTAGTAGGGTTCGAGATTTAGGCTCCGGGAGGGCCCCCGGGAATCACCCGATTTGCATGCTGACAAGGGTGGGCGAAAAAGAAGCAAAAGGCTGCCTCATCTTTCAAGTGAAAATAAGGGGTACCTTATTTTGGGGTCCTTATAATAAGGATCCTACTATTTAGGGTACTATACTACTTCTATGAGGGGTCCCTTTAAAGGAGTCCGAAGAGCCCGGATCCTAAATACTCCCTGCTTCGCAGGCCCAAATGACCCGACTACACGAAGAGCTGTCGAAGCAGACCTCGAAGGACGGAGCAGAGCTGGGGTTTATGGGGTTAGGGTTTAGGGGTTGAGGGTTTACAGGGTTGAGGTCAGGTGGTTCGGGTTCAGGGGTTGAGGGCTTACAGGGTGGAGGGGTTTGGGTTCGGGGTCGAGAGTTTCTAGGGTTTACGGGGTTTGGGTTTAGGGGTTGAGGGCTTAGAGGGTTTAAGTGGTCAGGGTTTAGGTGTTGAGGGTCTAGGGCTTAGGGCTGAGCGTCGAGCATTCCTCTACTCAGTGTTCGTTCCTGGAGGGTTTGTTTTTGAGGGGCTCTTCCAGGGTTTTTCAGACACTTTAATGGATCTTTCAGGATCTTACACAGCTTATGGCAAATATGCTTGGCTTTCAGTCGTGCACTTCAATCCACAAGCCTGAACTGCCTGAACCGTTTAGCAGCCTTAATCCTTCACACCACTCTTAGCCGAAGCTGCCCCAAATTCTTCCCAGCCCTCCCCAATCCCCAAGGTCCCCCCAAACGGCCTCTAACCCTTCAACCCTAAACCCCAAACCCTAAACCCTATACCCTCAACCCTAAACCCTAAACCCTTAAACCCTTAAACCCTTAAACCCTTAAACCCTTAAACCCTTAAACCCTAAACCCTAAACCCTTAAACCCGGAAGCCTGCCCAACACGGGCTTTGGAGCGCATGCGACGAAAAAGGCCCTTAACAAAAACACCTTAAACCCTAAACCCAAAGCCCTAAACCCTCAACCCTAAACCCTAAACCCTAAACCCTTAAACCCTTAAGCCCTAAACTACCCTAGATAGACCCTAAACCCTAAGCCCAAGATTCCTCCCAGAAGATGCTTGCGGAGGAGCTCCAAAGTCAAAGCCACTCCCTGGCGGAGCTCTCCCGGCGCGCGGACCAGCGCGCCGAAGCCCTGCAGGCGCGCTCGGTTGAGGTTTCGGCTTTAGGGTTTGGGGTTTAGGATTTAGGGATTTAGGGATTTATGGTTTCGGGTTTAGGGTTTAGGGTTTTAGGGTTTAGAGCTTTAGGGTTTTAGGGTTTAGGGTGGGTTCATGTATAATTAAGGTGTCATTGGGTTTTGGTCTGGTAAATTGGGGTCATGTGTTTAGATGGCGGGCTTGTCGATTTGTATAGAAGTCTGAGTAGTTGACAAAGATATGTCCTTATAGTACCTTGACGCTTATGCTTCAAATTTGCCCCAAACCCTCTTCTACGTAGTTCTACTGATAAGTCCCTACATTAGGATCATAAAGTGGGACACGGGGAGCATTCTGTCTTAACACAAGACTTCGTTGACCGATGTGTCGGGCTCCGGGTTGAGAGAGCATCACGTCTAGAAAGGCTTTCATTTCATGATCACAATTGGGCTTAGGGCATTTCATGGCGTGTTGATGTATAGGCCTTGGAAATTCGAACAGGGATCTGGCTGGCATAAGTTCGGCTCCAGGAAAGGTACTGCGCTGGAGAATATAATATAGGGGCTTCAAGAATTACCAATACTATTTTGGGGGCTCCTTATTAAAAAATACTCTATAACGGACCCCCAAACCCTACTCTAATTCTTAAGGCCCGTACATTAGGTCTTCTCACCTCCCTAGACCCTGAAGGGAAGCTCTTGTCGAAACCCAAGCGAGACTTGAATTCTAGATATACCCGTACAGCCTAAACAGTCGTCCCTAAACCTGCATCCCGCCCTAAACCCTAAACCCTAAACCAACCTAAACCCTACACCCTCATGCAGCAAGGCTGCGAAACCCAAGCCCCAGACCCAAGCCCGCTGAACCCCTTAGCCCGGCCCGGAACCCGATTATATGAGCCTCTAAACCGTAAACCCCTGAACCCCCAATCCACTCAACCCTAAGCCCTGAACCCCCAAACCCTAAGCCCTGAACCCCCTAAACCCTAAACCCTAAACCCATCTAAACCCTAAACCCTAAGCCCAAACCCTAAACCCTAAACCCCAAACCCTAAAACTTGGGAAGCTCAAAACCGAGTCTCCAAGCTCTCGGCTCCTTCGAAGGAGCTCATCGAGCGCCGCTGCAGTGACAACGCCTCGAAGGTGGAGGTTCCGTCTTGGGTTTAGGGTTTAGGGTTTAGGGGTTTAAGGGTTTAGAGGTTTAGGGTTTGGGGTTTAGGGTTTTGGAGGTTTAGGGTTTTGGGTTCCTTCTGGGGTTTAAGGTTCCTTTTAGGGTTTAGGGTTGGTTGTGCCTTTTCGGGTTTAGGGGTTAGGGTTCCTTTTGGGTTTGTTTCATTGGGTTTAGGGTTCCCTTAAACTTCAGGCAAATTGGGATTTCGCGTTGATGGCTAGGGGGGGACTCTAAAGGGGGTTGCATAGGTGTTGTTGAGTTCGTACAGGGACTCGTAGTTTGGAGTTGAGAGGATTTGGGGATCGCACATTGTGAGCTTAGGGCTTCGGGTTAGCCACGCTGAAGCTCACAGATCTAAGACTTTCAGCCCCAAAAACCCCAAAGCCCAAAACTCTAAACCATCCATTTACCTGACCGGTCCATGGACCCCTAGAGTCGAAGCTTTAGCCTTTTTCAAGCAGTCCCTTAGATACTTTAGGCCCGCAGTATCTACTACATGAGCATCTGGACCCTTGGGGTTATACATAGGCCCCATAGTAGTTCCTTTTTGGGATTACCTTATAGGATTCTCAATATGAACCCCAAAAAGGAACTACTATCGGGCCTATGGGTATACATGCACCACAAGTATTTCTGGTCGCAGGGGCTGCGCCTTGCAGACGTAGAGCAGCAGCAGCAGCTCGACAACGTCTCCAAGGCAGGGGCAAGCTGCGGTCTGGTGGCCTAGGGTTTTATGATGGTACTGTGCCGAATATAAATATATAGGGTCCTGCATAATTACCGATTCCATTCCATGTACATGAGCTGAAGGAGCGAGAAATGAGCCATCTTCAGAGCACTTCCTTCCTTCATCCTCGCTCGTCTACGGTTGAGGACATTGTGAACGATGGACGCGCCGAGGTACACATCAAGTGCGGCAACGTCTTGCGTCACTCTGGAGCGGACAAGCGAGAGAAGACCTACGGCCGCGGATGCCCTAAACCCTAAGCCCGAAAAACTTTCGGATTCCATGGATGCACTGGAAGGGGAACGACATCCTAGAGACTGCCCTGTGGGAGACTGCGCCTCAGGCTCTTTGGTACCGGCTGGGCTTTTGCTTTTAGGGTTTAGGGTTTAGGGTTTAGGGTTTAGGGTTTAGGGATGTTTAGGGATGTTTAGGGTTTCGGGTTTAGGGATGTTTAGGGATGTTTAGGGATGTTTAGGGTTTAGGGTTTAAGGTTCCATGACGGTACCATCCCTGATTGATACAAAGCGCCTGGATACGTCTCAATACCAGCTCACAGAGCTTCTTACTATAGAACCCTATAAACCCTCAACCCTACTCAAAGGATTATGGGACTTAGTAAGTAAGGTTATAAGTCCCTAAATTGGGGTTATAAGTATAATTACCCTATGCCTACCGGGTTTTGCTGGCGCTTGACGGGTTTAGGGTCCTGGGTGTTGGGCTTGGAGTTCAGAGTTAGGGTTTAGGTTTTAGAGGGGTTTAGGGGGTCATAGGGGTTTAGAGTTCAGGGTTACATGTCTTACAAGTACACGCCGTGGAGGTCCACACTTCGTGCACACGACACGAATGGAAGGTTCCGAGCTGCTGCAGCTCAGAGCAAGTGTATATGGGTTACTTTTGATGAGTTCTATACTGAGGGGTACGATACTGGTTAAATTGAATGCGTGGTTCGCGAAAGGAGCTTCATGTAATCACAGGAGTCTGCTGCCTTTATAGTATTCATGAGAGTTTCGAAAGCACAAGGGGGCCTCAAAGTTTGCAGAACCCCTTCTTAACTGGTGTCTGTTCGAGACCAAGGGGGCAGGCCGTAGGTTCAAAGGTTCAACACCACGGTTGTTTGCTCTCCAGGCACCTCGAGGCCCTTAGTAGAAGCAAGCACAAGGGCTTGGTCTTTAAGGTTTCAGAGCTGTGGTTTTGAGTACTCAGCTTGGGGCTTAAGAATAGACAGTATAACCGTAAGCCCCCTGTAGCCCCGAACCGTGCTTATTTGCAATTGTTCACCCTCGACTGTTTAAAGCCCGACCAGGGAACCCAGAGCCGGGGTTTGGGGTTGAGGATTTAAGCTTTAGGGTTGAGGGTTTAAGCTTTGGGGTTGAGGATGGTTGAGGGTTGAGTTGAGGGCTGAAGCTTTGGGGTTGGAGGATGTGGGTTTTCGGCTTCAGGATTCTGGGCTTCGGGCTTGGTGTTGCGGGATCTTAAGGTTAAGTTTAGGGCTTAGGGTTTTGGACTTTTGAACCCTTGCCAAGTCCTCAACCCTGAAGCCCGAACCTCTCAAGCGACGCACCGGAGAGGCCTGTACCGACATGTCACAAGCGCAGAAAGGCAGGCCCTGTTTTTCGACTACTACGAAAATTCCTTAATCCTGTGAGCCCATGATACAACCGTACAGCAGCTTGTGGAACCTTATAGGCTGCTCCGGACACGGGCTTAGGTTTTGGGCGTTTAAGGTTTGGGGTGCAAGGGAGCTGGACATTGAGACAAGTGTGCTTGGTATCATTATTACAGTATTGCGAGCGATCCCGAGAAAGATCTTCAGGATTCGTGATCTGGAACCCTGAACTTAGCTTGAAGCCTGCATCCCTGAACCCGAGCCTTACTTTCTTTTCCTGGCAACAACAAAAGTATAATATTTAAAACAAGGATCCTATGAATGACGGAATATAGTGCAGCAATGACAGATAATTGTGTCAATACTACAAACAATGGCAATAATCAGCAATAATACCTAGGGAGACGAAAATATGGATACCAATACCTTAAGAAAAATTACAACACGAATAACAGCAATAACACTAGGGTTCCCTCCAGGCTCTGGTTGAACTCGTAGCAAAGAGCACACTCTGCAGGCCGCAGGGCAGTTGGCTGCCCTCCAGGCACCGGTTGAACGCATAGCCAAACGTCATACTCAGCAGGCTGCTGGGTAGTTGGATGCCCTCCAACCTCTTGCGTAAATGGTCGCCACACGTCAAGCTCTGCAGGCTGCTGGGTGGTTGAATGCCCTCCAGGCTCCGATTGAAAGCATAGCCGAACATCATTCTGGGTAGTAGGATGCGAGGGGTCGAATCAGCTCCTCCGAACACATGCTCAACATGGCCATCTTGCAAAGCGCGAGGACGCGCCCATCAGCGCTATCACGTCGGATAAGTTGCAGTGGTTGCCAGCACTCAGGTCGATGATCCAGATGGCCTGGCCTGACGAGCCTCTATTCTGCCCGATGATGTTCGTCTGGAAAGATAGGGACTGTCTTGAAGCCACACAAACTCCTCTACCGTGCTGTCTGCAAGCGCGTCCTCCAAAGCAATGTTCAACATGTGGCCACCTTGTGCAGCCTGTCCTCCGTGCCCATCACGTCGGGTGAGGGCCAAACCTGAATGCCCAGCGTGTGCATGACGGCTACGGCCGGCGCACCCATGCGGGTGCTGGGGCTCTACAATTTTCTGTGCTGTACGGCAATTTGGGCCCTACCAACAATAATAATAATGGTAATGAGATGATAATGACAACATCAACAATAACAATCACAATCAGGGTCTCGGTCACGGTCATGGTCACGGTTACAGACAGCAGCAGTATCCGTAATCATAACAATGACAGTACAAATAGTATTAACAGCAGCAATAATAGGAATAATAACCATGGACCACAACTAATAAACCGATATAATGGCCCTTCTACATCCCCAAAGTCCCTGCGAGGCATCCTATTGGAGCTGGAAAAGTCCCAGTCTGCCGAAAGGCTCGTGACTGGGGCTTCGGCTACCTATATCAGGGTCTCACATCAGGTTAGGGTTAAGGGTCTAGGGTTTCGGGTTAAAGGTCCCAAACCCTAAACTTGAGCGTTGCATTGAACTCCCAAATCCGGGTCTACTAGTACTTAGGCCACGAAATTTGCCAAACGCTATCCGCCCCAACCCCAACTGCTAGCCTAACAAATCCTGATCCCTAAAACCTTTCGCAGGGTGCACAGTCGCATACACCATCGGCCGGAAGAGGAACTCAGTCCGGAACAACCCGTAAAACATATGGCGACATGTCAATCGGAATTATGACAGCACTGTCCTTGGCCCTTCGCAATTCGTGCCTGGGTATCCAGACATATATGAACTCGTTGAGGCTGGCATCCAGCTCAATTGCAAATTTTTCAGGCGCATGTACGTGGAGTGGGAGTCAACTACGGAGCTCCTCATTGTCATGCAATTGCTGACATTGGGCCGCTTGTGGTACCGGCCAAGTCTCTCTGGAAGAAGAGGTGAGAGCTTAATGTTCGTCGGGTCCGTACTGCGGCTTCTTATTTATATGGGTAGTTGTCAATATTATGGTCCCTTTTGGGGTACCCCAAATAATAGGTGCCGTATTATAATAAGGACCCAAAAAGGGACCATAATTTTGACGACCACCCATATGATTTTCTTAGCCCAAAGGGTTTCCACCCCAAGAGTCCTAAACCTTAAAAGACCCTGAACCTTAAAGCCTGGAGCCCGAACAGATTCCAGAAATGAATCCCATAACGGAAACCCTAAACCCTAGACTGCCTAGACTCTAGAACCTTTGACTTACCTTTCAAAAACCCTAAACCCCAGAAGCCTAGAACCCCTATAGCACGCTTTAGCAGTCCTGAACCAAGACCCTGAGCCTTAGAACCCGAAAAGAACCTTCACAGAATCTTCACAGAACCGTAATCCCTAAACCCCAAACCCTAAGGAACCCTTAGCCCTAAACCCTGGGAGGCAGCTGGATGAGGCCGCTCAGCGACTCGACGCGCGCATCGAAATGGTGGCCGCGGCGGCGAGCACCTGCACTGAAGGCTCGAGGGTTTACTTTGTCATACTTGGGTAACTGTTGTTTATGGCTACTTACTCCCGATAAGGAATAGAATTTTATATTTTTAAATACGGCGATCTCAACCATGAGCTTGTTTAGAGCTTTCGGGCTTTAGGATTCCTGTGCAGGGGTTCTTGCCAGGGGTTCTGCTGAAAGGATCTATAAGGGTTTAGGGTTGATGGGTTATGTAATTGTTGTATACGGCTTGGCACACCACACTCGGATGCTATAGCAAGATCCTTCTACCAAAAGTCCCGTATCCTCAATAGTAGGAGGTCGATTCCACCTGCTCCTCTCTATCCTCCAGAGGAATTTTTTGGGGTTATTATAATTTCGAACAGCCCTCATCTTCGGGGGACCTCCTTTAGGGTTCAGGGTTCTGAACTAGTTAAATCGATAGCTCAAGGCTCACAATCTAAATTTAGTCAGTCTTCTGAATTCAGGATCCCTAAACCCTGAACCCTGAACCCTAAACCCTAAGCCCTAAACCCTGAACCCTAAACCTTATAGAGTTTTGATTCTTTCGCCACTGATGGGTCCGAAGATTTGAGCCCTGAGCTCCCGAAGCTCTCAACTTCAAGCCGAGGCCCCGAAAGAGCAGGAATACCTATGTGGGTTTAGGGTTTAGGGTTTAGGGAGTAATGTGGGCAGTTCTCTAAACCAGGTTCCCTTTTATATAGTACGGCACCCTTATAAAAGGACCCTAAAAGCGACCCTAGTTTAGAGAACTGCTCATGTAATTAATACGAATGTCCCCTTATGGACCCCATCTTCATGTGCTCAAACAGACCCTAAAGCTCTTCATTTTTTTTTTGGCGCCCGTGTGCTACGTTCCTTTTGCGTGTGCCAGCAGCACCCAACATCTCGCACGCGTTGTCCGTAAACCCTAAAGCCTTCCTGAACGCCAAATCCCAACCCCCCTCCCCCAAAAAAAGACGCTACAACCCAAAGCCCCAAGAGCAAGAAAACAAGACTTAAACCCTAACCCTAAGCCATTTAACACCCGAACAAGACAAAAGCGACTAAACCCACTAAGCCCTGAAACTCCCAACCAAACCTGCAACGAACCCCAAACCCGAAAAAATCCGAAAAAAATCACCAACCCTAAACCCTAAACCCTAAACCCAAAACCCTAAATCCGAAAAAATCCGAAAAATCCCCCCCAAGAAAGCCGTGGAACTTCGGGGCGTTCGAGGCCTCTCAGAGCAGAAGAAGGCCGGCCGGGAAGCTCTGGAGAAGGCAGGGCCCGGAATGGTAGGTTTAGGGTTTAGGGTTCAGGGTTTAGGGTTTGGGATTTGGGATTTAGGGTTTAGGGTTTAGGGTTTGGGATTTAGGGTTTAGGCAATGGTAGCACAGTTTCTGTCATCTGGGAGTTTCCGAAAATTAGGGAGTACCTTATTTTGGGGTTCCTTACAATAAGGGTCCTACTATTCAGGGTACTATATTTGGGTCCCCTAT